GCAACTGTGATTGGCTGTTCCCAGACGTCGAGATCTACGGCTGCGGGACTTCAGGAAAGTTCACTTCGGCACGAGCTAGTCACGACAGGGGTTGTTGTCGATTGTAGCGTTTGTGAAGTGTAAATGAATCGACTGGGTATGGAGCTGTGTAGGCTATTACCTGAAATTTCTTTTACTTACATAGACAGAAGCAAATTCTGACAACAAAAAGTCGTCTGGACAGTGTTGCCCAAGATATGCGTTTAGGTGTCTTACATCGGAATTTAGGTGTGGTTGACTGATGGCTTCTTACAAGTAATAAATGATTATTCTAATCTCCCTTTTTTGTTGGTAAATGCGTTCTACATACCATATCAGTCGCTGTGCGACTGGATACGGGAATCTAGATCGAAACGCACGACGCATCGGGGTTGTTAGCCCCTGCAGGTTGTCAATGAGTGCCCTTCGACCACTGTAAACTCACATTTTCGTGATTGAAGTGGCATATATCTCGAACAATTTGGCTATAATTTTGTGGCCAAGTCTTAATACGCAAACTACCTTATGATATATTACTGCTGACAACATGATGTTCGTGCTGGTGTTCATTGAAAATTTGAAGTTGAACCGGAAACACAAGCTAGATTTAGAATCATAAACTGACATTGTTACGAGGTAAGCCGCCGGTTTAGTACTTAAGTCATTTTTCATACCGCAAACTACGGAACTGATAGAGCATTCATGTCAGTTTTGTATGCCATATACGCTTTTATAAATGCCATGAAAATTATTGGGATTTAAATTTACGTATAGCGGAGCGATTATTCAACTGGAATTCCCAGTAGACAACTGTAGTAAACAGTAATTGCAATATTTTTCAGGGGTCGCGAATGTCATTTTTGTTGACTAGAAAAACTCAAGCACACAAAACGCCTGTATCAGGAGGTATTAAGTATTACCTGCAATAACGGTCAACCTGTCTGATTTTCAAAAACCGCAAGTTATACTTGAGAGACCCGTCCATATTTTCACCTACGTTTAGCAGACTGGACGCTAAACATTGCTGATTAACATAAATAATTCAGTCAGGCCAAACAATGTACATGGCGTTTTCTGAATGTAAGCAGTCGTTGGAATATTTTGCTTAAATTATTGGTTTGCGGTGAAACAAAACGTGCGTTTTATAGATAACGAGCTGGATAAAAGTGGTTACATTTAATGGACAACTAGTTGGATAATACAAGGTAGAAGTAAAGTTAGATGCGTCGTTTGTCTTCGAGTAGTAGGCACTTTAGGCAGTAGACATTACATAGACCATCAAAGAATGATATCCTCCATGCGACCATATAGACTCTACCTCAGCTGGTTTAATAGGTGCATATTCAAAAGGATTTACAAAACGAGGGGTCTGAATGGTGAGAGGCAGTTATAAAAGCGGCTTTTACGATTGTTATGACTCCTCCACCTCAGGCGACCGATCGGCTAGGCAGTGGCTTGTCGGTGGCGCTGGGGGGAGAAAGTGAAGTCGATCTTCAGCGCATTTACTTCCCGACTAAAAAGAGTCTGATGCGCTTGAAGCTATCACGGTGCGATAACAGCCGTAGCTTGGAGGGTTGTCAGCTGACGGGATAACGTGGACACCGCAATCTGCCTTGTTGCGTTGAGTGGCTTGCTGCGGGCTGACTCCTTCTTAATGTAGCTTTTATGGCGCTCTCGCACACGTGAGAGCCTACCTAGAAAGGTGTTGTTGTTGTGGCGCGTGTGAGAGTATGTCTCACGCACACCGCCTGCGCCCTCCCCCATCTCCGGTCCTCTCGACTTTTGTCTTGACATCGCATTCAGGTGTGAGAGTGTTCAGAGAGTGGGGTAGATTCTACGCGAGGTTACTCTTACTTTAATTCAACTGTAGTTACCGCGTTTGTCTTCAGCTTGCTGAAGCGCGTGGTGGACATCGTAGAGAGCGACGGTCGAACTGTCGGGTACCTTTCACAAAGAAATGCAAACATTCACTTTCATATTTGAATTACCAACTGACATCTGAAAGGCCGTCATTGCATATTCCGAACAGAGGCTTCTGACATGCTCTGTCGATGTAACGACTGCATTCCGCCAGTGCGTAGGATAAAACGCGCAAATTCGATTACTTTGTGAAGAGGGAGAAAGTAAACTAATTGAAAGGCGTTAAGGCTCGGGGAGAAATGCTCTTTGCACAACCTTCTCCCAATTTTTTTCGATAACTGGCTTTTCTAAGCTGAACCAGATTAGATATCATCATTTCCTCCCAAAGACACTCAAAGCGTACTCGTGAATGCAAGCCTAACATGCAGCAGCATTTAGTTACAACCAGTACCGCATTCATATAATGAAAGGCTTCTTCTCCTACCGGATTATGACTCATATCCAAGAGTTTTCCTTGAAACTGTATCTCGTCTAGCTTCTTTTCGAAAGTATAATCGAAGCAGATAGCCAAGTTCTACGCACGAGAAAGGCTGAATTGGGATCTGTTGTCCTATGCGTTCAGACCTGCAGCAGAGAGACTATCAAGCAGCTCCCATTTCCTTCCCATTACCGAACCTTTGACTGTCTTCGGCGATGATTTGTGATGTTCATGTCTGAGCCACATTTTTGGAATAAAAGGCTGCACGGGATGCAATGAATCTCCTGCAGATAATCTGTGCATGCAAAAACAATAATCGGCTTTGGTCACACACAGAAAACAAGTAAATCCAATGTATTTATAAAATTTATCGAGCATATGTATATAATGGGTTTGGTCCAAGTAGTAAAATGTCGGTGGCCTGGGAGGGGAGGCTTCAATGCAGCCAACGATCTAGCCATGTCATTAACGACATCCCAGCGGGATCTTCGACTTTAGTCGCATTGGAGACATGTGATCCGCCCAGCCAGCTGCAACCTATGGCATTCCCCAATTCGAATTGGTAATATCATTTGCGACCGCACGTAGAAGAGTGGAGTATTATAAATGTTCAAATGATCCGATTATGAAAAATTCGTGGCCTCGGTGGGCTTCAAACCTCCCCAGTAGGGAAGGCCGACGTCCTACCATTGGGCTACGAGGCTTACCATGAGCCGCGAATTTAAACACACTTGGGTCGATTTACCCACCCAGCCTATTGCTCGTATGGAATTCACCATTACGGGCACAGTAAGCTGACTACTCAGGCAGGATTACCTAAGCCATCATCTATAATCCACCAGAATGACTACTAGGCTCACTTAATTATTATAATTGTGTGACAGATTTGAATAATTCATTTGACCCACAGAGGCCGCGAACTTTTCAAAATAGGGTCAATTGGATTATTCAAATCTGCCACCCCCCCCTAATATTATAAATACACCGATATCCACAATATTCGGGAACACGAAATTTGTGTGCGCTATGTGCAAAGCCTTACCAAACCTAGATTATCATGAAATGTTATCGACAATGCTTTAAGGTTTACATTCACTCCTTCAGAATGGTCACCTCAAGCCCGGCGATCTGATTATAAGAGTGGCTGGTGTTTCCGTGCGCGGAATGGGTCCAGATCAAGTTGCACGTCTCCTGAGACAATCCATTCTAACGAGCATGGTCAGCTCCACGGCCCCAGACAGTTCCGATGTTGCCAGTTCTCTCGAGGGCAGTAGTCACTTTACGCAAGACACACACAGCATCTCCTCCGGACCACATTCCATCAGCCCCACAGTGGCATCAACTATCACCTGCGCGGTCTTTCCTCTACGATTGGTCGTGGCAAGGGCAGCGGTGGGCCACCCAGCCGACCTTGCCGCAATTCTAGCGCAGCAAGAGGAACTCATCAAAAACCAACGATTTATCGGTCCCTCTTGGTAGGTACTTGAGATTCATAACGGCTATTTTTTTTGGCTTTGCCAGGGAAAGTTACTTCAAACTGGTCTCATTTAGGGGATATTATTTGAGCAAGAAAAGTCGGTTTCGAGTCAAGCTACTGCGCAACCTGTCAATAGAACGTGCGATTCATAAGTCCTCGTCTGGGCATGTTGAGTTCGAGTGCTTACATGTATATAAGCATTCCATATACTGAATTAAATTCATTTATTGATGTTCTTGGCTTCATATTAGTGTTATATATTGTTCTGCATTTTTAGGTAAATACGTTTTTATTATTATATGACGAAAGCGTTTGGCAGTAGAGGAATTTCGATTGCCGATAGTGTGTAAAGGTAGCTATGCAGTGGTGTACCAGAGGTTTGCAACAGTAGCTTATGTAGCCCCGCTCCCTAATCCCTACAGCCTGCATTTTTTTTCGACGAAAACGGTGGCTATCGAGTTTTATGGGCGGGAG